TTGGAGCCTGTGCTGTAGTTGAGGACAAACGCGTGTGCCTGGTAACTTTAAAGGCAGGTTATGTGATCCGGTGGGGTGGGGAATCTCCATCCTGGGAGATATGTAACGCTGCTGGATGCATCCCTGCAAGATCTGTTTTAACTTTGAAATTGTCCGTTTTGTGTGGAGGGGTTGGACCAGAGACATCCAAAGTCTCTTCCACCTAAATTTCTCCATGGTTCTGTGCCTGATCCTGCTGATGACCCATGCAGTTTGCTTTATGAGTGAAAGGAAAAGAAAAAAAAAAGCATTATAAACCATGTAGAAATGTAACAATATTCCTGTCTGCTGCAAGCTCTGCCAGGGAGCAGATGCTAGCTGCCTTTTCTCCTCTAGATGAATTTATTTTACTGGAAAGACAGCTGCTGTTGCTGTAAAGTTGCCAGATGGACCTGTACGCAGACATGGGGCAAGTGGGAATGTTGAAGGGGGATTTGAGAAGGCAGGGAGCCCGTGCTGGCAGCAGCTCCTGCCCTGCCAGGGGACCAAGCAGGGCTTTGGGAAGGATGTGCGTGCTGAGGAGGAGCTCCTTGTATTGCTTCTTTCTTCAAGAGCAGCTCTTTCAGGCTTACCTGGATTATGACCATAATGGAGAGAGTTTCTTGTTGGGCATACATCCCCAGGAGAGGTTGCACTTGATGGCTGACCTTTGTTTTCATTCCATGCTGCATGTTTCTAGGCCTTGAAATTTTGCTGTGGGCTCAAATGGACAGTTAAATCAAGGAGGACGAGCGTAGGATTAGTTCCCAGGGAGACAGGATGTGTTGCAAGAGTTGTGCTTTTGTGTTGCAGCTTTTGTGGGAGACAAACAAGCCTAGTGGGACAAGAATAGCAGGACTAAGGATGGGCATTTCTAGAGGGTTATGTGCCTTCAGAGCTCTCAGCAAATGTCAGCTGGTTTGCCTGCTGCCCTGCAAACGCTGCTCGCTGGGAAGGAGAAATCCAGCTCTCCCAAGTGAATGCTTCTCCCCAGCTGCTTTTCAGCTCACCTTGCCAGTGAGATTAAAAAAAGGGCTGCCCTTATGTGCAGGGACTGTGGATTGCACAGAGATACAGCCCAGAAAGCTTGAAAGCATGGAGGGGCCAGACCGACCTCCCCAGGGGTCCTCTCTCGAGTTCAGGGCAGGGAGGGACCAGCGTATCCAAGGAGGCAGAAAAGCTTTCTGAGCTGTGGAGAGGGGCAAAGCTAAACCCAGGGAGAGAAGCTGCCATTATAGACTCAATTGTCTGGTCGGAAGGGAGGTTTGCTATCGAACGGGCTGCCTCTGCCTGGGGAGGGAGGGCTTGCAAACCATCGGAGGAGGGAGCTGTGTTCTGTTAGCAGCTGGAGCCTTCCAGAGTCAGCCTGCAAGGCTGTCACTGCTCATGCTCGTGGAGAAGAAGTGTTATTCACAAGCTGGCTTCATGACCAGTCTCATTGCTGGGCTAATTACCCAGATCTGCTCCATAAGGAGATTCATCAGTTCCCCTTGCAGCCCAGCTATCCCTTGTGAAGGTTTGATGTAGCTAGCTTGGTTAATCCCAGATGTGTCTATAATGAGAGATCATTTGTAAAAGTGAGACCAGCCAGGAAAAAAAGAAGTTTCCAAACTTGTTTGGAAACCTCTGTGTTGTAGACATAGGAAAATTAAGCCGAGGCCATCTTTCTGCGTTCAGCCCAGCAAATTATTGTGAATTTGTCTGGGAGAAATTATCATTCAGTTCCTAATTATAAAGGTGGGAACAGCAGCCAGGGAGGGTTAAAAGAAGGCCTCTGCCTTGAGGCTGTGCTAAAGAGAAATTGTAGATGTTTGTTTTTCAGAAGTTCAGCTGATGGATGCCTCCAGAAGGTTCTGGTGCCTGGCTGTAGTTTTACTTGCCCTGTTCTGTTTTTCTTTAGAGACAGAGGATGCTGAGGGCTGAAGGCCCCAGCTGGATGCTTGGTGCCCTTCCATTTCCTCCTTCAAGGTTTTTAGGTGGGTGGCCAAGGCAGGAGACAGGCAGCTGTAACCTGACTGCAGATGTGCAGGGCAACTGAGCCCACAGCAAATGTGTCACCTTGTGTCTTCTGTGGGACAAGACCTTGCTCATAGGCAGTTGCTGAAGAAAGGCTGATGAGTAATAAACTTATACCTTAATGTTCCTGTGCAATATCATCTGCATCGCAGTTCTATCCACAAAGCTGAGATGCTCTTTTCCCTCCCTTCCTGGACTGCTGCAGGTGCATATCGTAAGGAATGTTGATCTAGCCAGCATGCTGTGAGGATGTGGATGAGATAAGGTTTGTCAGTAATACTTCTTGTTCCCATCAAGGTAGTCTGGTATAAGATACCATTCTCTACTAAGAAAGCTTATGCTATATGTTGCTAAAAACACTGGGCTGCGCAGACAGTAGAGAGAGAAGCTAATTACAGAGAGAGAATATAGATAAGTCTCTCCATAGCCTTCAGAGCTCTGTGTTGAATGTGAGTTGTTTGCTAGCCCTTGTGATTTTGCTTTTTCCTGAATAAGTATTGCTGGACTTGACTCGCAGGTAGGAAAGTTGAGTCCCCATGAGATTGAAAAACTCGTCTGGTCCCTGGCAGAGCTGTAATTAGATGAGTGCAAATTTATGACCGTCGATGTCACCCTTGGTCCATCTTATGTGCTTCCTCTGGCATGGGGGGAGGAATTTTTGTTTTCTATCTATAGGAAAGAGGAAAATGTTTTGGGTTGGTTGAGGAAATGGGGACAGTTTCTTCTCTGTGGCCTGGTTGCCCTGGGAGTCCCCGTGCTGTTTTGTAAGGGAAAGTTGCAGGGCTGTCTCTGTGGTGGAGCCCAAGGGGGATGCTCTGGGGATAAGGAATGAAGCAAACCGCTTGAAAGGAAGGGTGGTGGACATATGTACATTCTCATATGCTCTTGCTTATAAGCCATCACCTAGGTCTGCTGAGGCTTCCTAGAATGCTTGGATACCTGAACCACAGGCTGTGAGAAAGGAGCGTGAGATTCCTGCAGGCCCTGCTGGGGATCCCAGCTCATGTCCTGGGACTTTACTGCTGCGTTTGCTGGTGTCTGGAGGCAGAGGCGTGCTGGAAAGGCTCGAGACATCCTGGCTGTTTCAGCCAGCACACTGCTCCTCGCTGTTTGCAGGGACAGGACAGTTCCTGGATGTGGCACAGTGCTCATGTGTTCTCTTTCCTGATTGCAGATGAATTTTTTCCTGACAAAAGGAGCTCTTATTTACCAAGATTTCATCTGCTTCTGCTGTTTATTGCCCACCTGAAAGCCTCCTTGTCTCCTGCTGGCCTTGTTGTCCTTCCAAGAGCAGCCAGTTGTGCCTCTGCTGCAGTGGGGAGAGGGATGGAGTCGGATGGGGTCAGTGTTTGGCAGCTGACACCTTTGTTTTGTTTCCATCTGTTCCCCCTCTTCCCTTTTAATGAGATCAGGTGCCCAAGTGCACCGGGAAGACTTTTCAGTGTGAGAAGAAGTCAGAAATGGGGTACTCTGGTCCTTGCTTACATCCTTGGCAGGCAGAGGCTGCTCAAATCAAACCTGCACCCTCTTGAGAGGCTCCTAGAACAGACCTGATAATGGGAAACAAAAACTCTGCAGTGAGGCTGACAGCTCCGGGTTGGACGGGTCTGTCCTGCAACTCTGAGCCTTGAAACTCAGAGATGCTTGTGCTGATGGCCACTGCAATGCGAACCTGGCTGTTTATGGACCCACTGGGGTGCCTAGCTTTTAATTTTTTTTATCCTCGTTTTTGTTTTTTGTTTTAACATGGCCACTATCTTGTCTTCTAAAATCCCAGCTGTTTTAAATGATATCAGTGGCTTGACAGATTCATTCTTTCAGGCCTTTGGTGTTCCCTATACAGACCTGTCAGCTTTTCTGATCAAGCACTCTAATTTCATGAGTAGCTCCGCTTCTGCTTTGTGTTTTGAAGGGTTTCCCCCTCTGCTTTTGAGGCCATATGTTTATTACAAAGCTGGTCTTTCCTGAGTGGGAAGGTTTCCCAGCAGGAGAATCTGCAGGAGGTGTTAGGGGCTGGTTTTGTTGCTGGCTCTTTGATTCATGGTAGTTCTTGGGATGTGTGAAGGATGGGAAGAGGTTCAAAAGAAGAACATGAGGAGCTCGTTTAATGGTTCAGCTTGGACAATCTCTATGTGGAAAATGACAATCTGTCCCTTTGCTTCCACTGCCAAAATGTGATGTGCCGAGAGTCAGCATGGAGACCTTGATGACATAAAAGCTGTAGAGTCTGACAGTACCCCCATGGCAGAGAGCAGAGGCTCTTTTAAGGGATGCACTAGGTGTCCTGTTTAAAAATCTGAAAGCCCTGACTGAGGTTCCAGCCCAGGACGGCTCTGCATGGGTGTTCTTTAACAAAACTCCCAGTCTTTTTGGCAAAAGATTTTTGGATACAAATGCCATCAAATATTAGACTAATGCAGTAGTGCCTTCTTAAGCAACCCAGCAACTGCTTTAGGATTTTGCTTGAGTTCAAACTCAGCAGTTGTGGCTGTTGCATGGTTGTCTTGGGACTGTGAAGGCAACTGTCCAGAGCAGGTAAAGCCACATTCCGCTTTGCTTTTTTTTTTTTTTTTTCTTGATGCCCATTCCATCTGTAAGTTCCTGGCACAGCAGAGCTGGTGCCTGCAGACTGCCCCGGAACCTTTCGGTGCGGCCCTGTGTGCTGCAGGGGAGCAGCACAGGCTGCCCTGGCAGTGGCAAGGAGACCAGCTTGTCCCTTCAGCGCTTCACAAGTGATAGATAAAGCAAGCTTCTCCTTTCACAGCACTGCTTCCCAACACGCTATGGTGCTCTGTAGCTGCTGCGATCGTGCCAGGGGCTCCTGTGGGCTGAGGTTGAAATGCATGTCACGGGCTGGGTTTGTCCCTTCCCTGTCTTCCACTTACATCTGCTTTTTTTTTCTAATCTTCCTCTGCTTTGCTTCAAATCACAGATCCAGATGTTGGTGTTTGAAAGTGCCCTGCAGGAGAGGTGCTGGACCTGCTGGGGCTTTGGGTGGCCGACTGGCTGTGAAGCCAAGAGCCGAGGAGACCAGTCCTGCTGCAGATGGAGCTGCCGGGTGATGCCAGAAGCTGCAAATGCCAACCGAGCTGTTGTGGACCAGGTAAAGCACAGGAGGGTTGTTTTTTTTTTTTTTTCTTGGCCTGGAGAAGTTAGAGGGAAGGACCACTTGTGGCATTTAGTGTGGGGGCCTTGGAGCTGACCATGGGAGGATCTTGCTGAGCTATGGGTGCTCAGGTATTGCGACGGTTTTAAACACATGTGGTGCCAAGCAGTGGAGAGCTGCCATGTGCTTTGGCTCTGAAGGAGGTTCTGTATCCTCCTCGGGTGGAGGAGAGGAGGGCTTGGTGCTCCCCAGCCCCATGGCCCTGGGTGGGAGGGAGAATGGCCTGGCAGCTGAGGAGAAGAGCTGGGCGTGGAGCAGAAGGGACTGACTCCTGCTCTGCCTCTGTGACTGTGAAAGACCCCTGGTCCTACGGTGTGGTGGTACTGCAGCATGCTCCTGTCCTCAGCATAGTGGGGATTTAGGTGGTTTTTACCTGCTAGAGGAAACACGAGGCCAAGACAGTTGGGATTAAGGTAGCGCCAGCCCCAGGAACAGCTACCGAACCGTCCTGTAACTGTGCAGGTGATCGGTGCCCTCGACACCTGCCCACTCTCTTGTTTAGACAGAGATGCTATGGCAGTACCTTGCTGAGTGAGGCCTGAACCCCCATCCAAAATCTATCCGTTCTCCTGTGGCATTGTCTGCTGGCAATGACAGCCTCCGTCACTGCCTTGCTAACCTCCATGTCAGAGAGTCCCCTTGGGCTGTGATTAACTTCTTGAGGCTTGTAAATTTTCTTCTGCATTTACACAAAGACAGCTGGCTGGATTAAATGGTTTCACAGTATTATGGAACAATAAAACCTAGGAGGCATTACACTTGTTGGGGCCAAGGATTTTGCTTTGTATTAAAAAGCAGTGGGGAAAAACCAATTTACTCTTTTCGTATTTCATGGCTGCACCGTTAATGTCAGGGTCTCCAAAATGTAGATATCTGAGATATTGTTTTGATTTAGAAAAGGAGTAGAGAAGCAGCTCAGGTTTTGGAAGTGAGATGTGAAATAAAGAAAAAGTTAGGAAGCAAAATTGATTCTGAACATGGGAATAAAAAGGGAGAAAGCAAACCAAGGCCGGTGCATTGAGGTGTGTGCTACCGGAAAAAAAAAAAAAAAAAAAATCTGTGTTCTCCCCTGCAGTGTGGGATTGCTCAGAGGAAGGCAGGGGGAACATGACTGAACGGAGCCAACTTTGTTTCCCTTCTTTCTCAGAAGAAAACAAGTATGAACCCTGCTTGGATTAAAGAGGGTTATGGGCTGCCTGTTTGGGAATTTGTGATTGGGACTTCATGAAGTTGCAGTTGGGTAAGTGATCTCAGTGCAGTTATTTGGTAGGAAATGTTTTGATAGCCTCTACTATGGTTTGAGTGTTGCAGTCAGTCCTTTCTTTGAGGGCTGGAGTTCTTCCTTCGTGGGTTAAAATGGGCGTAGTGAATGCTCCCATCTGATGGTGTAAGCTGTCTGTGCCAGCACTTCCCTCCTCTCCCCGGATCCTCATTGCAGCCCTTGTCTTTGCCTTTGCTGCAGCTCTGTGTCCTCTGCAAGACACCAAACATGTCCACTTGTTCTGTGGGTTTGATCTGGTGAGTGCAGCAATGATGACAGGAAAGGTTTTTCTGAGGGGCCTGTTTCAAACCCCCCAGGGGCTTTGGTTTTGGTGTCCAGAAGCTAGACAGTGCCTGTGCTGTCGGATTTCTTCTCAGAGCCTGCAGCAGGGCTTTTGGGGGACACAGGCTGATAGTGCTCTGTGTCCTTCTGGCACTGCAGCGAGAGAGAGGTTAATAATGCAACATGCCTGCCTGTTGCCCTTGGCTGTATGCTCATTTGTTTCTGCAGGAGGATGAGAGCTATGGAAACAGCATTTCCCAGAGGATGGGGGGAAGGGTTTTCAGCCCCGTAGAGCAGCTCCTTGCATGATCTAGCAGTTCTGTGCCTCTAAAGAAAGCAGGGCCAAGAGCCTGGTTTGGTCAGACCCTGCTAGGATGGAGAAGGGTGGCTCGTCTGAAGTGCTGAGGTGGCTGGCTTGCTTCTGTGCTGGGCTGTGCGCCAGTGTGATCTCCTCTCCAGGTCCTGGAGGCCACCTCCAGTCTGTGCTGCTTGAAGTGGGTCCTCCCTAGAGTCAGAAATGCAGGCAGCCAACTGAGAGCCAAGTGCGACTCGGGAATGATGGCTCCAAGCTGAACTTAATGGTGACAGTTGGATATTGTGAAGGAAAACAGAGGTGAGCTCAGGGGGCAGAGAGGGTGTTGGCAGGGGAAGAGGGGCTTGATGGTCCCTGTGGGAGTAGGAACGGAGAGGGGGCAGCGATGTGAACCCCGTACCTCCTCTGAGTCCATGGTCTGAGCATCCGTGGTGGTGTGAAGTTCAGCTTCTGGGCTTTCTTTCTGAAAGTGTGGGTCTCCCCTGGGGGAGATGGCTGACGCTTCATTTTGTGGCTAGCTTGCAAGCTTTACCTGAACTGATAAGCCCTGTCCTTGGGAAGAAGCCTGGAAGAGACCTGGTCCTACCTCCACCTCCCTGTCTCAGCTATACCGTGTGTACCTGGGCAGTAAGCTGTGAGTGGGATGGTCTATTTTATGACTTTCCCATCTTCAAGCATGGTGAAGCCCAGGACTGGGTCAGAAAGCAGTGGCTTCCGTCTTCTACCTCCTGCAGGGCACCCTGAACTGTCTGTATAGGCTTGCAAAGTACGCGCACCCATTTTGATTTTAATTTCAGGTCCATCGCTGTTCCAAAACAGCGTCTTGGCAGGGCTGCCTCGTGTCTGTAGCCATCGAGAGCCACGGCTGTGATGAAGAAGCTACAGGACAAGCTGGATGTGGCCCCCCTTTGCTCAGGTGCCAGCAGTCTGGCTGGTAGCATCCACCAGCAGTGACACCTCCCCATTGGGTGGTCTGGGAAGGCAGTGTATTCCTATCCCTCAAAGTCCCTGTTAGCTGGAAAAAGAAGTAATAATCTGCAGTGTTCACCTTCCCTGCCATCAGAAATTAAGAAGCTTAGGCAGGACGTGTGTGTTTTGCAAAACGCTGGAGTCCCCCAAGGGCTTTGCGTGCAAAAGCTGAGAGAATCAAGTAAAGCTGCTTTTTGCAGGGAGCATCAGTCCCCTTCTGCTTGATCACCAGGGTCTCTGCAGCTCGTCTTTCACAGGGCTGTGTCAGCTATTCGCTGCTGCTTGCCAGGACGTTGCCTGGGTGTTTCAGGCCCTGGCCAAGGGGGCTTGCTTCTCTCCGGGCTGGGAGCAGGTTTTGTGAGGGTTACCCAGGTTCTGCCTCTAGCGCCGGGTGCTGCAGGGAGGGTGAGGAGCCCGTCTGAGCCAGGGACAGAGCTGGGCCCCCCGGGTGCTGCTGCTGGGCTTCTCCAGCCTGGGTGGTGGAAGGTAGCGCCTGCAGACCGTCCTGGTGTGCTCTTACCAAGGGATGACCTCTTCGGTGCTGTAATTTGGAATTTCCACAGGGATAAACTGTGGTGCTGTGTGTGCTGGTGTAGTCGCCCTCCTCTTGATGGGCTTGGATGTGTCCAGCCCAGGGTCTGGAAATAGCAAATGAAGATTTGCCTGGAGTTGAAATAAGGGAGTTATATATGGGAGTTGGGATGTGGGAAGAGGAACCAAGGAGAAAAAGGCTTTGGAGTCAAGGTGGGTGCATAAAAAAATTTCAGCATATGTTTCTCCCTGTTCAGCATGGTTGAGCTGCCCTATTCTGGGCTTATCCTGTGCTGTGAACTCTGCTTTACTTTAGAATAAACCTCTACAGGAAAAGAAAAAAACATTTGCTTAAACATTGTGCAGCATCTAGAAGATCTTGATGGGTCTTACTCTATGTCAGAAAATAGAGTGAAATAACGATATCACTGTGTCCACCTGGTAAAATGGGGGTGAGTAAGCTGAGCTTTGCTGATCCAAGGCTGATGAAGGAAAGCAGTGGCTGGGAAGAACTGCAGGTCACATCTTGAGCCCGTGTTTCCCTCTATCAGTTAATGACCAGCTCATCTCTGGAGTAGTATAAGGGAACACCAGGAAAAAAAGGAATTGGCCCACAGGTAGCACGGAACTCTGAGTACAGTGGGAGGAAGATGAGCCTGGGTTGTGATCACGCTGAAGGCACCAGAGGGTGATGTGCTGCACACTGGGGGTGACTTTTTTTTTTTTTTTTTTTGCATGCATTTGTAATTTGTTGCTCAGCCCCTGGAAGAGACTGTATGCTGAGAATCCAGTGTTCCCCTGCGGCCCTTTCCTGTGGCCCAGGGTGAGCCTTGCCCAAAGGCTTGCCGCTCCCCAGGGACACAGTGCACACCCTCCCAGGGGAGGTGCAGGAATGACTCCGGGTCTTCTCAGGTCTAGTTATTTAAGCAGAAGCCTTTTTGTTTGAGAGGACGTGAGGGGAAAAGGAACGAACGACGTGTTCTTTTCAGGTAATTACGCCACACTGCAGTCCTATGGCATTTGCCCAAGGCTCGGGGTTGGAGGTATCCTGGACAGTTCCTAATGAAATACCGGTGATGGTCGCTGTGAAGCAGGAATTAATCGCCAGGTATCAGAGTTGGGAGTGCTGTCGTTTGCCACTTTCTGCAGCTTCATTTTTCCACTGTGGTCTTGACAGCCAAGCAACCGTTTGTGTTCCCCCAGCTGCAGGAGCTGAGGGATCCCAGCAAAGCTCAGCAAGCACCGAGCTCCCTTTTAGCCCCGTGTCAGCCCCTGCACCAGGGCCCTGGGCTGGAGCTCCTCAGTGAGGGAGCAAGGGGGGAGCCGGGGTTCGGTAAAAAAGTTGAGAGCCGTTGCTTTTCGGCTGTGTATCATCGAGGTGGCAGCCAGGGAGCCGAGCTGGTGGCGCTGGGATGAGGGCGATGAGGGAGCGCGCGGGGGGAGCGAAGCAGCCGGTCCCTTCGGAGGGCAGCGCTGGCACCTTGGTTTTTTTTTCAGGGGCTGTGCTGAAGCAGCGGGCGGGGGCGGGCTGGGGGGGCACTTTTTGCCCCGGTCAGGGTGTGTTTGGGGGCGCCCAGCACCCCTGTGCCGCCGTGTCCCGGGGCTGCGGCCTCCCGGCCCCGCGTCCCCGCCGTCGCCATGGCGATGCGGGAGGCCCGGTTGCCCTGGGAACGTGGGCAACAGGCCGGCTGGCAGCGGGGATCGGGCCCGTGGGCCGGCGGTGTGGGTGTCCCCCCACGACCCCCCCGGCGTGGGGGGGCGGGAAAGGTGGGAGATGCTGGGCCGTGCTGGGTTAGAGGGGTGTGGGGGGGTGTTGGCTGCGTCCCCCCCCCCGGCCGAGGGAGGGAGGGCTTGGGAGCGGGGGGGGGGGGGGGGGGGGGGGGAAGATGGGGGGGGGTGACTCCTCCTGCCCCGGGGTTGGGGACATCCCTCGTGTGAGGGGGGTGCCTGAGGAAGGGGGTGCTTGGGGCGAGGGGTGGTGCTTGGGGCAAGGGAGGTATCTGAGGAGGGGGGGTGCCTGGGGCAAGGAGGGTGCTTGGGGCGGGTAAGGGGGGGTGTGTCTGGGGCGGAGGGGGGGGGTGCCTGGGGCAAGGAGGGTGCCTGGGAAGGGGGGTGCTTGGGGCAAAGGGGGTGCTTGAGGAGGGGGGGGGGTGATTGGGGCAAGGGGGGATATCTGAGGAGGGAGGGTGCTTGGAGCGAGGGGGGTGCTTGGGGTGAAGGGGGTGCCTGGAGGAAGGGGAGTGCCTGGGGCAAGGGGGGGTGCTTGGGGTAAAGAGGGTGCCTGAGGAGGGGGGTGCTTGGGGCAAAGGGGGGGGAATCTGAGGAAGGGGATACCTGGGGCAAAGGGGGTACCTGGGGCAAGGTGGGTGCCTGAGAAGAGGGGGTGCTTGGGGCAAGGGGGGTGCTTGCGGGGGGTGAAGGGGGTGCTTGGGGCGGGGGGGGTGCCTGGGGCAAGGGGGGGTGCCTGAGGAAGGAGGTGCTTGGGGCAAGAGGGGTATCTGAGGAGGGAAGTACCTGGGGCAAGGAGGGTGCTTGGGGCAAAGGGGGTGCCTGAGGAGGGGGGTGTGCTTTGGGGCGAGGGGGGTGCCTGGGGCCGGGGGACCTCGGTCCTGCCAAACCTCCCCTGGCAGTGGGGTGCGCTTGCCCTCCAGCAGGATCCGTGTCCCTGCAAGGCAGCCGCTTTTCTGGGGAGGGGGGTGGTGGGGGGTGAGGATGCCTGTGGAGCACAGCGTGGGGGGGGCTCTTGGGCTGGCTGCAGCACTTTGCATTTCGGGGGCTGGGAGCTGGAGCCCCTTCTCCCCACCACCGGAGCTGGACAGGGAGCCAGCTTTGCCCCCTGCAAGAGAAACTTCCTGCATGTGTCCCTTAGTTCCCCTGGGACGCAGCAGGAGTGCATCCAGGCTGTGGGTTATGCATGGAGGGGTCGGGGACTGCCTGCCTTGCTGCCGCTGGCCTTGTCCTCCTCATCTTGCACGTGGCCTTTTGGATGTTTTGGTCTGAAATCTGCTTTGCGTGGCTTGGAAATGAGGGCACAGCTCATAAAATCTGTCTATAAAATGCTGTGAAGGCTTATGATGAAAAATGCAAGCGGTGGCCTAGCTAGAAGTGACTGCAGGACTAACTCTCCGAACAATCTTTCTTTGCATTTTAAATGCATGGATGATTTTCTGAGAATTAATTCTTGCATTACATCTAGGGAAACTAGCGGTGGACTTGGCAGTGCTAGGTTTATGGTTGGACTTTGTCATCTTAAAGATCTTTTCCAACCTAAATGATTCTATGAAATGTGGTCCAGATGCCAGAAAAAGAGTAAAGAAGAAGGGAGTTGCAAAATTGCAAAGCCAGGGTAGCAGAGATCAGATGCTGGGAGAGGCAGCTGGGAAAGGGAAAATAGTACTGTAAATACTTAAGGCAAGAACCACAGTTATAAATTTTAGTATATGGAGCTGGGGAAACTCCTGCAGACCCTTGGAGGGGAGCTTGGTCCATGTCACTGTCAGCTGAGTGTTGAAGTAAGACATAAGAGGGAGGTCTAGCACCAGGCTCCTGTTCGTTCTCTCAGCTATGGTAAAGCTTTTGTAATAAATTGCAGGAGGACGGTACCAAAGTGATAAAATACAGAGGGACTGGAATGTAAAGGTGACAGGTGAGGCTTCCTGGGTAGCAAGACTTGATTTAGAAGGCACTCAGCCACTTAGCAGTGGGCTGGAGGGGCAAGAGATTAGTCCTGGAAATTCTGCTTCTCCTTTCCTGGCTTCCTTGAGATGCTGTTTTTTATATGGTAATTATAGCTAAGCAGGTGATTTCTAGGCAGGAAATGTGATCTTTCCACTTAAGCCTGAATAGGGCAAGATGATTTAATGGAAGAAAACTGTTCCGTAGCATCCCAAGTCTCACTTTTAACAGATCTCCTGCCTTCCTCTTCCAGCAAAGTGTAATAGAAAGGCAAATTAACCAATTACTGCGGAGAGAGATGGTTTATCTTTGTGGAAGGAAGAAGAAAGAGGATTTATTGTGTATACTGGAGCAAGATTCAGACACCAATGTGTGGTCCTCCAAGAAAAACTGGGTATAGTGTATTGCAGTGCAGAGTGTGGGGACATATGGCCAGCCTTTAAGTCTGGAGGGTGATCAGTTGGTATCAGAGCAGCTCTGAGGTTGGTGCTGCTGCTTCATTACGAGTTACGTGTTACGTGGGGTCGCTTGAGATAAGAGCACTGGCACTTAGCATAGGGGCAGCCCCCAGGATCTGTACAGGCACGAAGCTGTGCCTTTACATGAAGTTTGCCTTTTTTTTTTTTTTTTTTTTTTTTTTCTCCATAATGTCCATTAAGCAATTTGCTGTTTATTCTTAATTTCCTGTGTCTGTCAGCACAGTATCATCAGAGAGCTGTTCAGTTTTATTTTACAGAGGGAAGCTGTTGGACATATGCACAAAGGGATTTGGATGCCTTAGGGCACTATCTAAGTGCTCACATCAACTTCTTCCTCGGCACAGCTTTTGCCAAGCTCATGGGCCCTGAAGGCCTTTAAATCCTAGCTCTTGCTGCAGCATGTCCTTATGTCTGTAGGACAGTTTCTTGCAAGAACAAAAGGAAATGGCAACCTTGTCATCTCCTAGAACTGTAAAGGGCCCAGGACCGTGAACATGTACAATGCTGTGGCTGTTTCCGGAGCGAAGGAGTGAAGTTACTGCCTTGCTTGCAGGATGTGTGTAAAACTCGAGGGGAAGGGCATGGTAATCTTTGCAGAGATGATGTCTTAGTGTATACAGCAAGTCCACACAGAAAAGATGACGTGGAACAGAAGGAGTCAGGAGGGAAGGTGATCTGTGATTCTATTCGATGTCAGGATGTAAAAATTTTAGAGTAGAGCTGGGTTTGAGAGCCCTGGTATTTCAAGTCCTGGAAAATTACTGGGCAAATCCATCTGTTCCTTGGTGCAGTTAGGCAGAAAGGGAGGGGAAGTTTTTTATCAGTCTAAAGTAGTGCTTAGTAAATGCTGTACATGTTTATCTTTGATTTTTATTGGTGCTTGAGACTCACTTTCTGGGATTGTCTTCTCTTCTAGCCCTTTCTTGCACACCCACTTTGTGTGGCACAGATGAAGAGATGTGGTGGGCAGGCTGGGGGCTGGCAGAAGAATGGCCCGTGGGCCTGTTAACCCACGCTGCTCATAGGATAAGGATGCTGGAGAAGAACTGCCATTAAGATAAAGTCTTAAGTGGCCCTGCTTTCACATATATGTTGCATTTCTATTTGAGCTAATGGCCGATGTTCCTTTAATGGTTTCATGCTTTTATTTCTGCTGTTACAGCCTCTAATGCCTTGTAGGGAGCCTTGGGTTTGGGTGTTAGTAAGTGAAAATTAAGGCCCTCGTTCTCCATGGAGAACTGCTCTTGAGCACTGTGGCAATTTCATGGCTGGAAGGAGTCATATTTGCTCGATAATTTTTGTAACTTAGAAGAACCAAATTAGCCTTGAGAAACTATAGACTGTTGAACTCTGTGTTTCATTAGTTAAAAACATCACCAGGCTTCTTGCATAAAGGGTGGACATTTCGTTTGCAAAGTAGGAAAGTGGTCTGATTTTGTTAACACTTGGGACAGCAGCCATCCCTGGGTTTAAGGCTGTTCAGAATATGCTGAGCACTTAGTAGGGCCAGGCACAAAGTCACATCAGGTCAACTGCTCTTACAAAATGAAACAGCTAAGTGACATTTACCTTCCTTCTGTTCCTACCAAAAAACATTCAAAGCGTAATGAAGGACAGTTTGGATATTAATAGGGATTTGGTTAATAATCCCAGTAAATGGGGTTCTAAGAGTAACGGAAGGTGAGAAATGCCAGCAGTCCCTCGTGTGTGTTTGTGGCTTGTGGGACTTCACCCACAGCAAAAGGCTGTTTTGGCTCATTCAGTGTTTGTTCTGGAGTTTTACTTATATGAATCTTAACTCTGCCACTGAAATATGGTCTAATGAAACAGGGTGGGGAGGCCTTATGCTCTCCACTTATGAAGGATGCCACAGCCTGGAGACACAGGTGTATCCTTTGGGTCTGTCACGAGTGGGATTCTGGATTTTCAAAGTCCCATTGTTCATCCTTCCAGGTTGAAGCTGCAACATGGCTACTGGCAAGCTCCACCGGTCCGGGGAGTTCTCCAAAATGTCTAATGGATTCCAGAGTAAAGTGGTAGCACCTTGCAATCTGAAGCTAGTCAGAGAGGCGGGGGAGTGTGTCACTGTAAGTACCTGCTGTGGGCCAGGCGGGAGTCGTGTTAAGGCTGGAAGCTGCCCGTGTCCCTCCTCTGCTTTCCCCTCCTGTTGTCTAGCAGCTCTGTGAAGCTAGGCACCACCTCCCCACCTCTTTGCTGCTGTGCTGCTGCTGGAGGTGGCTATCATGGTGCAGTGGGGGATGGCCTGTGTGCTGCTCCAGGGAACATCCAGGGTCTCGCCTGAATGTACCAGTGGAGCCAAGTTAAAGGAATGTCCTGAGCATCACACTGGAATAGCTGAAGCACAAACATGTGCTTCCTTTCATCCTCTTTGCTGTATGGGCAGTAACATCTCCTGTCATGGAGGCGTACTTGCCGGGGCTGCCCTGACCATAGCTCTGGGCATGTGGTGGGATGCTCAAACTCTGCCTGAAGACTTGATGGAACATGGTTAGTCCCAGACAGAATCGCTTCCAAAACAGTTCTTTGTATTTTGTGTCCTGGGTGGAGCACAGATGCAGCCCTGCAAACAGCAGTGGGTTGAGGGCAATTCCTCCTTCCCATCCACAGATGTCCCCTTTGCTGACTGGAGCTCACTTCACTGGAAGTGACCCAGTGCTGAGGCTCTCTCAAGGAGACATCTCTGTGTGCTTCTGTGGAGGGGTCTGTGAGGCCAGAACAGAGAGAAAACAAATGCAAATTAAAAAGAGAGAACTAAAGCTTGGACCCATTCCTCTCCACCTCAGTCTTGGCACAAGGATGCTTTTCTGCTTTTTTCTGACTCATCCAGCAGTGACATCTCCACCTGCATGTTGGTTGTGAGTGCTGTGCAGGGATGAAGTTAGGGGATTTCTGAGAACTCCTCCCCACTCTCTTCAAAGGTCTCAATCAAGCAAAACTAAAGAGGGAAGAAGTGCCCGAAGAGCAGAAATCCCCAAACATGTCATATCATATCTTGAAGGAAAAGCTAATGGGACAGAGCCACTTGCTTAGAGCGTGTGTGTTCCGCTCTGTATCATTGATTTACTGATGTTAAATATTTCAGCAGGTAACTTACGGAACTTCCAGGACTATCCCAGTGGCTGTGATCACAAATTATTCATCAGTGGCACTTGAACAAGAAAAGCCTTTCTGAACAAAGGCATTTCTGTAGCTCTTGCTGGTGTTTTGCATTTCAGCTGACTCCCTCTGCCTTCCTGAAGGAGATGTCTCTTACCACTAAGCAGAGGCTGGCCAGCACTCGGGAGATGAGGCCGCCCCGGATTCTTCAGCTTCTAGACATCAGCGACACCTCCCATCAAAAGGTAGCCTTTTCCTGCCCTTTTCTTTGCTGTTTGATGTGACATTTGAAGAGGGTGTGTGCTTGTGACAGGCATGCATCCAGCTTATCTAAATACCTCGGTGACTAGGTCCTGTTGTCGTTTCAACCTGCTGGGGGTGGTGGAGTTCCTTCTGCTTTCTGCTGGGGGAAAGGTAAAACATTTTTCCCCGGTGAAACCTTGGAAGTCTTGATGTGTTTTAAGCCAATATAACAGCTGGTGAAGTTGGGGGGTTTTGCTGGAGTTTAGTTACCATTGCTAAAGCACGATACTGGGGGAAGACTGGGACAGGATGCAAGGGCACGAGCTTGCCATTTCCCATCCTCCTGGTGAAATAGCCACCTCGTGACTTGGTGTAGTTGCTGCCAAATGCTTCTGTGGAGAAGCAGGAGACCTGCTGGTGTCTTTGGAGTGGGAACAGTGCAGCTGGAAGAGGGGAGACAAAGCAGGGAGGAATTTTCTCAAAGTCATGCCTCTGCTCTGTAAATGTTTGCTGTCTGTGTATATTTTCAGACATGCTTCTGCAGTGGTATTAAATAAAACAGCAATAATGGAATACAATAAAACATCCATTTAAAGCTCATGGAAGAAGGAGATGCCAAGTCCAGTCTTACTCAAGTTGCCCAGTAATGTTGAGAAAAGAGCTGAACCTTACCACTATCCAGCATTCACCTCACGTGTTGTTTTTTCAACTACTTTCTCTTTAGCCTTACCTCCTCTGGTACTGTTGTCTTCTTACTGGTTTCTAGGCTCTATATCAAAAAAGATATTTAGGGATATGTGGGACTTGGTCTCTCCATCTCAGAGTAAAATTCATCCAAAATTGTTTCCTACAGAGTCTCATATAAATTCTTGGGTTTCACTTGCTCCATGAGTGCTCGTGGCTCTTCCAGTAAGTGCTCTGGAGCTGTGTGACCACGTTAGCACAGGGTCCTGCCAGAGGTAAGTGCTGCTTTGCGTTTTGGAGAAGGGAACCTGGAGAAACACCTAACAAAAGAGCTTCTCAGCTTGAGCCTGCTCAGCATGGTCCAGAAACTTGTGATCAGCTCAGAACACAGTCGAGGAGTTCCTTTTTCCTTAGTGTGAGCTGGGCAGATGTACTCACCAAGAGACTGTGCTTCACAGGAGATCAATGTAGGATTCTCATTCATGAATCTTTCTCCCAGCAGCTGAACCTCCTCTCACTGTTGTGTCTTGCCTCTCCAGTTCTCAGCAGTTGACCCAGACCAGAGCTTGTTTCAGCCTTTTCCTTCAGAGGTGGTATTTCAGAACTACGTCCCCTGCGAGGTCTACGAAGTGCCACTGATTCTGAGGAATGTTGACAAGGTAAGTGCTGGGATGCAGAAGTTTTAACACTGTGCTGGAAGAGGAGAGTGGTGTAATTCACGTGGTTTGCAGCACTGCAGGTTACCTGCTCCAGCACGGCCCATCCAGAATAAAGTGTCTCAGGACCTTTATTTTGCAAGATGGTGGAAATCCTCCCATGCTGCAGCTTCTCCCACTGATTTTGGCCATGCACTGGTGGTATCTAACTCAAAGGAGCTTTTCAAGTTGGCATCCTTCCCCTCAAAAGCCCTGGACTGATGAGAATGTTGAGGGGGATGTACAGTTCTAGTCTGCTCTCCTGCTTTGCCTCAAGTGTGCACCATGTCCTGGTGGCTCCTTGGTTAATCTCGGTTTCTGGCAGGACATCCCTGCCTCTCACAGCCTGTTCAGCTGCCTCTGTGGAGCTGACTGTCAAAGCACAGAGGTTGGGTCTTCTCTACTTTGTGCTGGAGGAAGTTATAGTTAGTGGCATTAGCGCTGCAGGAAAGGTGTTTTGAAACAGCAGGGGAAACAGACTGATTTGGCAGAAGCAGTGAGAGACCTTTAGGTGCCACTTTAGGCTCCTGCTAAGCTTAATTCAGTTCTGTTCAGCTTTCTCTAAGAAAACGTGGCTCTCTGCTTTCCCTTTGGAGAACGACAGCACATCCAGAGTAATGTGCTCTTGAAGGTCTCCACCTTTACTTGAAAAAAATGTGATAATTTTGAGATTTCCCAAGAAAGTTGAGAAGAGAAAACTTGAAAAATGTCAGCAATTTTGTTCCACTGTAAAGAGGAAAATTGAGACCTTTTGAATTTCAGCAGGGGAAGCATTTGCTTGAATGAGGCATATGCCAAGAGCAAGCTGGTGGGAAAAGTCAGGAGGGAGGAAAGGAGCTGAGATAGAAAGTGCTCTGGGAGAGAACATTGTACACACAAGGGTTTCTCTTGACGTGTAGCAGTAAGTGTACTGGAAGAAGAGAAAGTTCAGAAAAAGAAAGGTTTACTTAAACGTACTGTTCTGTAATGAAGAGTGAGATGTGTACGTGAGAGGAGGGCAGGATGGGAGGATGGAAGTGTTCGTGAGAGCACCTCAATTAACCACCTCTCCAAATCTAACTGTTGGAAAACAAACAAGTGGACAAAAGAAGCTGTCTGGGCATATTGCAGGTAGAGGAACAGCAATAGAAGTCAGAGTATAATTCTGAGATAACAGGTTTTGACAGGGGCATGGTTGAAAATGGAAGACCCTTTGGCAAAGAAGGTTGCAGGTGTGGTCCCTTGGTTATTCCTGGAGAGTACCGCACCATTCCTGGCCTGGCGTTTAGCTTGGGAATATTGGAAAGATGCAGCATGGATGCCCACACCCAAGAGATGCCATTCGTGTGGTCCACACTGATTCTGGGCACTCTTTGCTGTAGGTATCCTCTTTCCTGATTAAAACGTGCCTCAGTTTCTCTTCTCCTATGGCTCTGTTTTGTTCCCATTCAGTCTTTTGGCTTCAGCTGCTCCGTTATCCAGGCAGCACTTCAAAACGTTTGTCTTTGCCAAGTACCAGCCAACAGGCAAACAGTTTATTTGCTCTATTCATGCTTCCTCAAGTGGAAAAGAACATCTGCATCAACATTTCTGCCATTCCCAGTGAAAAATAATAAACTTGTACAGCTGCACCTTGGGATTTGTACGCCCTGTAAAGGGGAGGCAATGTGTGAGCTGTTGATTTTTTCTAAAATTAATTACTTTTGAAGGTAGTAAGACCTCAACCATTGGACAGCTCTGGTGTAGAAGTAAGATCAGCTCTAAGGAAAATCCTTGGCATATTTAAGTACACAAATATAGAGATGATAATCCCAAGAGAGGTGGTTATATTCTAATTTTGTTGGCTTTTGATAATATCCAGCAACATTGTAGTCTGTCTCAAAGTTTTCTCACCAGTTTTCCAGATTCTTACGAATCATACTGACTTATACTGCATGGTAGCCTGGGGTTGTCCTCTCCATAAAATCCATCTAACAGCAAAGTATATTCCAAATAGAGGCTCTGTAACCATTGAAATACAGAAGCGCTTTGCTGTATGCTTACTGCTCTTACCTGTGTGTTGTAAAATTGCTTTTCGGTCTTCAGGCTGTTCCTCACCACCCTCAGATCTGTTCTGGGTGGCTTTTGCTGAAGGTCTGAGCCACGTGTGCTCATCTCCCACGGGACTTGGTGACCAAAATATTTGTCTGCAGTGTGAAACTGGCTCTTGGAACTCGCTGTCCCAGGGCACTGCTGGGAGCAAAGGCCATTTGGAGAGTTCAGGACTGCCTTGGCCGGGGGTTATCAGGCTTGGGTGGGTGGTGCAGGACAAAGCTCCATTTTTCTCAGGCCTTGTGTGGGTTTGTTGTTTATCAGCGAAGCTGCCTGTCAGTCAAAATTGCCTATTTTAGAGTTTCTGAAATGAGATTTGGTGCTCAGGGGTTGACGTCTGTGTGCTAGAAAACACCTATTTGCTGACTCTGTGCTTGTGGGATCCCAGAGGGCAGAAACTTGCAGCAGGGTGCCTGCAGGGACTCTGAGATATGGGGGGGAATACCCCACAATCTGCTTTGCCTGCACTGGCAGCTGCCTGGTTCCAAGCACCAGGCAGCAAGAGCCTCCAGAGAGCTGAGAGTGGCTTTTAATAATGAAACCATGCTGTGAGTCAGTGCTGGTCCTGTATCTCAAGGCAGAAAATGCCTTTGAAGCCCATAATTGATAGGCACAGCCTGGGGGGTCGTCTGGCTTTCCATCATTTTGGCAAGTTGACTGTTCTCATTTCTGCATCAGCCTTTCCTTGTAGCTTCTCCCTTGCTTCTTTACAGCCCCCTTTAAATTCTCTTAGCCCTTTCCTTGTTTCTTGTCTCTTTGTCTTCCCATGTTCCTCCTTTTGCTCTTCAGGTTTGCTTTTATTCCCAGTAAGACCACAGTGTCTGTGGTCTCTTTCTCTTGCTGGTCTGCCTTCAGGACTGTAGCACAGCAGCTCGACTGCCCCACTCAGACCCGGTATGTAAGAAGGGAATTACTTCTGTCCACCAGTACAACACGTGCTGTTTTGCCTTCAGATAATACATTTCCCCTCCAGAGGCAGGACTGCATGGATGTTTGCAGGCAGAAGCAAGCGGGTTCTTTGGGTTTGTTGATGATGTAGATGGCTTGCTTCAGGTAATTATATCTCCATACTGCTGGTGTCTAACCTGCTTGGTGATTCCTTCCCAGCAAGTCATTGCCCTGCTGCCCCTGGCCTAGAGCTATTTCGCCCTGGTAGAATGGTTTCAAGTCCATCCTTGTGTATTATGTGCATGTATCTCGAGAGCTAAAAGTGCTTAGGAAAGGTGGTTGAGGAAGGATGTCCTCAGGGCATGGCCAGGTCTTTTCTCCTCATGTTTCCACATGAGTGGCAAAATCACAGTTTCCTGTCTTTCCCGCAGGTTCCTCGCCTGGTGAAGGTTGTCTTGGAGATGTCACCTTACTTCCAGTTGATCAGCCCCAATGACATGTGCCGTAAGGTAGCACCTGGCATGCTTTCAACTTTCCGCATCCTTTTTACCCCTGAGGAGAACAAGGTGAGCCTGGGGGTTCCGTGAAGTTGGTGCCTTCAGTGGAAGCTGAACCTGCAGGGCTGGGTTCAGAACAGGGCACCTGGTGTGGGTTTTGAGGAACTGTCCTGGTTCCAGTGGATCTAGAACTGGGAGAAACTCCTTCCCCGTGGTGAAGATGATGCTGTCATAGACTGGAGGCTTTTACGTGTTTCAGACTGCTTTTATCCTTCAGTGCTGGAACATTTAATGTCATGTCTGTCAGCTTGTGAGATAAGAGAGTCTGCTGCCTGCAGGGGGGCAGCCTCCCAAGGTGTTGGTTTCTGGCATCTGTCCGTTGCTGCGTATTTATGGGTTTGCTCCACTAATTAGAAAAAAAAAGGTCTGTTTAAAAGTGACTTCTTATTTGGACCCCAAATGAGCCTGATCAGAGTGAGGACCACCGCCTTTGAAAACTGAAGTCACTGTAATCTTTATCATGCTGGACACAGCAGTGAGACAGCGGAGCATTACGTCCGAAATCGTCACTTTTTTTTTTTTTTGCACACCGGTTCTAGCCCACACCCTGCTGTGGGGTCTGCTCCAGGCTGTGGTGAGGCAGTCTGCAGCTAGTCACATCTTGGCATTGCAGGACGCTCTTCGCTGCTGCAGCAGGGACTGACGGGCTGTGCTTTCCCTCCCTGCGCTTTCTTGAGCAGTTGCGAGAGAAGATGCACGTGGAACAGTAGGAAAATGGCAGGGTGGGGTGTTGATAAGATGTTTAGCTCTCTCTCTACTCAGTGGTAGGGGTTTAATTATTATGGAGAATACTAGAGGAACAAATAGATCCAGAGAGCTTTTCTCTTTCCCATCTGGCAGCCACTTCCCTGCCTCACCCTGGGCTGGAGCAAAGGCGATGCTTTTTCATAGCCTCTGTTTTCAAGCCTTGCAGCTGTGCTGTCCCTGAGGATTCTTGCCTGTCTGCGACCCAGCGGTGAGTTTTGGGGAGAGGGAGTGCTGTGCACGTGGCAGGGAGCCAGCCTGGCACAGGGCCACTGAGCTCTAGATGTCCCTAACTCGGCAGGAGGTTGGTGTACTGCAGATGACTTTGAGACATCTGCCTGAAAGACCACTCAGGGGAATAAACGGGCAGGTTCAGTCTGCAGGCAGACACGTTGCCCGGAGCCTGCGGTGCGGCGGTGTCTTCATGCATGTTATTGTGGTTGCTCTGTCAGCTGGCACCTATTCCGTGGCAAACGTGCCGTGCTTTTGCTTAAAGGTTTGAACATTGGTGCCGTGGCCCTGGCAAGTCTGATTCTCGGTGCTGTGTTGTGAAGGGTCAATACTGTTATCTGGAGGCTTGTTAGTATGGAAGGATTTAGTACTTGTCATGGAAAGGGAGGAAGCATTGCAGGGAAACAAAGACAGGCAGGCTGACTCCACCAGCATCCTGCTGCCTCTTAGTTCTTTGCATGAGTTTGTTGGAGAGGGGAGTCTAAGGGGTAGCTTTGAGCAGGCAGATGTTTCTGCACCGGGCCAGAGGTGCAAGATCTCTTTGGGCTTACCTGTTTTTTTCATCTTTCACTTGCCACTTAGATTTAGTTTAACACTTTGGCCTATCCTCAAACAGCACGGATATAGAAAACTAAAGAGGAAATGCCCCGTGGTCCCTAGCTCCCCATGCTTGTGAAATAATCTGTTCCTTTGGAGCAACTGAGAAATTATTTAACATCATTAATATTTAGGGTAAAAAATTATGTTGGCCTAGGGCAGTTCTCCAAACTACCCGAGTGACACGAGAGCTTAATCTCATTGAGGTAGGCTTTGCAAAGTACACTGGGGCCTTTAAAATGTAATTTATGAGTATTAATTAGGGTTGATTTGGGGGATGGAAAGGGTAAATTGGTGCCCATGAAGGGCAAAGTGCTGCTTTTCAAATTCAAAGAGGCAGCAGAGCAACACATGAACATCATCACAAATAGAAGTAGACCCCCCAAGAACGCCGATGTCCAATACTTTGTCCCTCGTCTTGCCCTTGAACTGGCAAGTGCATGGAGTAGGGAGCTCTGCCAGTGAGAGGTCCTCTGCACAGCTTCAGTGACACTCCGGCAATTTCTGCCGAACTAGGGGTTGTGCAGGGCATCGGGAGAGGGATGCATGCTGCTTGGCGAGGAGCGTGTGGGGATTTGTACAGCAGAATCGGAATTTGGTACAAATCGAACATTTTGTCTCGTACTTGATGGAGTGTGAGTCAGCGAAGTACCAGAATGCTGTAGCTCAGCTAGAAATGCATCAATAGCGGAGTCAGGAGGTGCACAGCACCTTGAAAACCCCTTAGCAAAGAGGCAGGCTTTGGGAAATGGTTCTGTAAAGCCACCCGAGTTGGGCTTGCAGCAGCTTGCCTGCAGAATATCTGTGCTTTAGTTGTGGAAGGCTTCTGAGTGCTGCCTTTGAACAAGCTCTGCCTCTCTGCTGCTCCATGATCTGCAGAGTTTGTGGATAACCCAGTGAGCTGGGATGCAGGTACAAACCCCTCTGTCAGGGTTGGAGAGTCCTCCTGCCATGGAGTTGGTTTATATAATTCTCTTGCTTTGAATCTGTTCTTCCCTGGGGTAAGTCTGACTTCAGCGAAGTCGCTCCTGATTCAAGGGAGTAAAATCATGGCTAAGCCCTAAATAAAAGGACCATGGGAGTTGTTAGTGGCTGAAAGGCCATGTGCCATGTAGCCCTTTCTTGAAAAATGAGCAGTTTCCTATTGTCTCGCAGTCCTTTGGGAATGTGCCACATGATTGGACTGTCAGAAAGTAAATAAATTAGCTGACACGTCTCTTTGTTTATTGGCACTTGCGTTAGAAATATGAAATGCTAATTTTCCTGTTGGGCAACATTTCCAATTAGTTACTCTTGCTGCTTCTGATTTACGCATTTCTGTTTCGTGGCTTCAGTTGTACAGTGTGGGTGTTCTCGTGCCACCCTGTGTTTCTGGGTGTCCTTGCATTATGGTCTGACAGTCTCTGCCTAATTGGAAACCACTGTGGAACTTACTGGCAAATAAACAGACAGGAAGATGTACATTTGTCTGTCCTGCAGGCTTATTGATAGATTATCTTAAAGGAAGAAGAAAACATGAAACATAAAAACATAGCACAGCTTATTCTGTTTTGTCCTCTTGCTCTTTTTGCTGTAGCAATACGGTATTTTCAGGCAATACAAGTTCAATCTGTAAGGTTTGCAAAAATTCATTACTGATGCTCAGTGGAGACTGAATTAATGCTCATTGATTAATATGAAATATGACAGACCGATGAGTTATTGCATTACTGAAGTTAACTCCTTTAAAATTCAGTCCAGCCCCGTTAGATGTTTTGTAGCACCTAGAAGCTATTCCGGGTGTACTTTTAAGAAGACTCTTGCGGGGAGGAAGGGGGCAGAAGATCAAGGCAGACGGCCCTGCGCAAAATGAACCTGGAGCAAAGGGACTGATTTCAAAGCCTCCTGTGAACTGGGAGCTGAGGGAGGCAGGAGAAGGGGTACCCCTTCTCATGTGAAGCTGTTTTCATCCTCCAGTGTCTCCTCTCTTTTAATGGCCCTTATTTTCCAGCCTTTATGATCTCCTGGTTTCAGCACAGAGCTTTCCCTGCTTGACTTACTCTGTTACCTCACGCTACAAGGATCTCTCCTTTGCAGTTGTCCTCTGCGAGGAATTCGGTGAAGTATTTAGGATGGGTTATGCAGCAAAACTGACCTCTGCATTTGCTGGCGTACTGGGCAGTTAAGGTTGGTATCACTGTGACAGTAATTAATGTTAGCCTGAGTTTGCAAAGAGCCTGAAATGACGTCTCTGAGACAAGCAGTTCTTGAATTTCAGTGGGTGCGAATTCAAATGCCAGTGGTGATACATTGCAGGCCAGAGCTTGTAACTTATTGCTTCTCAAAGGTGAATAAGAGAAGAGGAACCATTGTACAATGATAGGTGTTTTCCTTGAAACGGAGAGAAGAGTTGTACGAAGAATGGAGTTTTAGTTTCATGAAAATCTATAGCCTGAAGCTAGTGGGGCTAAAAGCAGAGAAGCAATGCAACCCCTCTGTCAGGCATGTTGATTTGGAAATCTGGTTTGAAACAGTCTAAGGGTTTGCAGTTGCAAAGTAAAACAAGGCTGTAAGCTGGTTTCAGCTGTACGCACAGATTGTGAGCAAGTGCATAGCCGAGTTGGTAACGCAGGGCACTGCCGCAGCGGAGGATTGCAGCCTTTATCTCCTCCCAGGGGAGGGCGATTTAGCTTTCAAAAGCTCGAGGGACCACGGGTTCACAGCAGCATGAACAGCCAGCTCGTGTCTAGCACCCCTCTTTCCTTGGCTTTCCCCCCTGAGACCACACTGAACTTGGTGCAAGGTCCTGTTTGGGTGGGTCACAGAGTGTGGTTGAAGGGGCAGCACGCTCTGCAGCGCTGCGAGTCAAGCCTTGGGCAGGATGCGACGTCCCAGGGCGTCCCTCGAGAAGGGACTGGGCACGCAAGGTGTGTGTGCACGGGTGGCGAGAGGCCACTTTCTCTCTCAAGGTCATGGTTGTCTGTGAGGCCAAATCCTTGTTGCTTTAGCCTCACCTTCACGTACCTGGAGAAGTCCCTTTCCCCGTGTCTCGTGTGTCACTGTGCAGGCAGTCCCAGGGCTAGGAAGGTGGCATGTGTTTGCTTTTGGGGGGATCACACCCGGGGGGAGGTATTTATTCCTTGGGACTTGACAATGGTTTCCTGTTATTTCCCTTCAATACCTCCAATTGTTGAAGTTTCTTTTTTCTTTATCCCCCTGCTGATCTGAACTCCTTGCGTCCTCCTCTGTCTACCGGGCATCTGGAAGGGAGAGAGGAGTAAATATGACATGTCAAGACTTAATAAGGCACGCAGCTTTCAATTGGATTTACAATGCCTTTGTTACAGTAGTGTGGCCAAAATAACAACAACAAAAAAGTAAATAGCATTCTTCATTTGCTAATGTGGTTTCTGAGGATCTAAACAGTCCAGGATGTGAAGTACCCAGATAATAGGTGCTTTAAATTCACATGGGCTGCCCATAGCTTTTATTTTAGATGGCTCAGGCTGCAAGATTAAGTACGAAATTGCTAATTCAGAAAGACTTGCTGAAGATGAAACGCTCTCCTGAAATGTGATATTCAATTCTGTAGGTCGTTTGCTGCAGTTCCCTTCCTGGTATTTTACCTTCCAAATCTGAGAAGCAAAAGCCCTTCTGCAATTTCCAGTGTGAATATTTGAGATGTCTGGAGAAAAAGATCCTTCTTTATTCCTTTTACATCTTGGATGTGACAGCGTCTGTAACAGCAACCTTAAAGCCCCAGCCGAGCAGTGGTTGGTAGCACTGGGTGTTAGTTGTTGTGTTAAGGCAATAGCTCTGTGTCTGTGCCTTGTCTGGCTGCCTTAGGTCCCTTCCAGGTTTAGAGAAGATGGGTATGGGAGAGCAGGAAGGGAAGCACGGGGAAGATTCCCTAAACGCAGAGGAATCTGAATCTGTTTTGATTAAGGGAGTTTGCTGTGTGCAATTCCTAAATCAAATTGTCTGCCTGCTGCTTCAACAATGATAAAAATATCAAACGACTTAAAAGCACCGAGGAAAAAAGATGAAGACAGCAAATGAGTGATAAGATGCAGAGTTTTTATCAATTCCTCAGTAAGATCGCTGCTGGAAGTGATGGCTCCTGGCCCTACTGCAACAGTTTTACCACTGATTTCAGCAGGGGCATGGCAATACTTGCAGCACAGCAATGCCATACTGTACATCTGGAGATCGATCTGCTCATCCCTACAGTAACATGATTCTGGGGATTTTTATTTGCCTTCCTGCTGCTAAATGCCAGACGGGTGTGGGGGACAGTCTGGCTTTTTTCCGAACAAGCCAATGGTGGGGAATAGCACAGCTGAGTTTGCTCTGGTAGGGATGTCTGAGTGTCTCCCATTTGCAGCTCCTGGTACCACCTGCCTCAGGTAGGCATGCTAATAAGGCATCAACCCTGCAGCAGAGAGGAAGCCAAGCTATTTCCTACGTCCCCTGAGTCTAGGTGAGACGTAAAGGGAAACTGAGATTAGACACAGGAAGAACTCTAAGTCTAGGGTTGAGCTGGAATAGGCTGCTGAGGGCAGGGGTGGAATTGTTTGTGCTTCTGAGCACTTCTCAAACATCTTGCAAGAATAGTTTGGGTATAGAGCAGAGCCAGTTCTAGGGTGGGGAGAGGGATCAGATAGATTTTTAAGGGTGTGTGACCCCAGCCTTGTCCCTGTAATGCTGTGGGAAGGGGTGGTAAATACACATGTACCTTACACTCACCTGGCATTAAAACAATTATTGTACCCAACTCGTTAAGTATTTCACCAAAGACTGACTGTTGATTGTGCACGCGGCGAAGTCCTGTTGAAAATGTACCTGAGCCTCCCCGGGCAGGCTTCGGTGAGGTCACTGCATTGCTGGGATTGGAGTCAGTGCTGTGGCACAACTGGGTTCTTAGTGGCACCTTTAATAGTCTGCAGTGGTGATCGAAGCAGGTTCTTGTTACTGCAGTAATCCCTTACACGAAATGACTCTATTTTGGCGCCTCAGAATCAAAGTATCCAATAATTTTGTCTGGTTCTGCCAGCTCGCTGTGAAAGCAGGTGAATCAATGGGGTTGTTTCTTCTTTGCAAGTTCACAGCCCTGTTCAAATCATGCTACTGGAATGAAAGGTCATTAAGGTAAAATGTACTATTACCTTACTGAATGCTGCTGTTAGAGTCATAGAAAACAGCAGTTTTTCTTCTGCCATGGGACGGTACTAAATGCCCTGTGCCGTTTCTTTTCCTTCAGGATTATTTCCACCAGCTCATCTGCATCACAGAAAGGGAAAAGTTTATTGTGCCAATCCGAGCTATAGGTGCCCGAGCTATCCTGGACTTCCCTGACCAGCTGAACTTCTCCGTCTGTCCAGTCAAGTACAGCACCCAGAAAACCCTGCTGGTTCGCAACATCGGCAATCGGGAGGCTCGCTACCGCATCAGCACTCAGAGGTAAAGGAGCTCATCTTCTTTGTGCAAAACACTGCTGCATGATAATATAGTTGGTAAACGGTAACAACAAGAAACCAGAGCATTGGAGCTGCTGTATTGCAGCCGTAGCTGGAAATGGGCAGGACATGTGGGTTTTGCTGTTGCTTATAGTCTTTTAAGCATGATGCAGCCTTTGATAAAACTGCAAGCTGCAGCGAAGTCTTATACTGCAGTGGTGTCTCCAACACAGCATCTTGCAAGAGTCTGTTAGATTGAAAGAGCAAATGTTAGAAGGCAACTTGGGGGCCCTTGGGCTGTGTAAGATACTGCATGGCAGGCAACAGCTCAGCTTACGTAGACCAAATGCAGGGTTAAGAAATGGGCAAGCTATGAGCTGGTGAAAGAGCCATTTAAGAATTGATCAGCAGCTGTGTCTGTATTAGCCATCAGAGATTGTAGATCAAAGCAGTTGATATGGAGGCCCTGGCAATAACACTGTGTGGTCCAGGAACTTTGTTTTCCAGTAGGTTTGTTCTGGTCCCTGGGACCAAATATTCTTAAGGAGAATGAGCTCTTAAGTGGAGATGAGCAGACACTGGCTTCAAAACTGCACCAGAGCTCCAAACCAGAATGCTAATGAGGGCATGGGCAAAAGATGCAGCAGATGTCTGGTGCGTGGGTTGGGGGCCTTTTCTTCTAGAGCTTTCTCTTTCCCAGATTTCTTGGAGAGTGCTAGAGCATGTTAGTAGCTGGTTTGCAACCTCCTGATCATACACAGTGGCTACACACCACTGTTGGCCAAATACACCCATTCTCTGGGAGGCCACAAGCACGTGGGATTCCCGTGGTCCCCTGATCAAAAGCCTGATGTGAATTGAGTTGTGGACAGCCTCTACTGCTCCTTTTGGTCTCAGAAGACAGTCACTGGTGAACCGGAGAGGGTAGTTAATGCCTTTTTGACACCGAAGCTTCAGGGAAACTGGTTCACGTGGCTGGTAATTAGTTGCGAGTTGCTTGGTCCCAGAGGTCTTGGTGTAGGAGCTGAAGTCAGGAACACAGCAGAGATCTGCTGTCTGACTTGGTGCACCTGAGTTGCTTCAATTTCTTTTCCAGGAAAACAGGGCTCAAAAGACAACTTTTAACTTTTCTCCTGTGCAACGTGAGGGTCCAAGAGGAGCTTCCACCAGTGCCTGGCAAGGCTATTTAAGCAGCCTTCTCGGGTGCTGTTTAATCAGGCTGCTTCTTTTCACTGTGGAAACACGTAGGCAGGAACTTGTAAATCACTGCACAGTTTTCCTCTGGGATCTCCAGATCTAGTTGTCACCACTAAAATAAATACTCAGTAAAGTCTAGCATCTTTTTCCAGTGTGCTTGCCAACTATTCTATTGAGTGATAAATCGTGTGTTGAATCCTGCTTGATATGGATTTTAAGAGTTCCTGAACTTCAGCAATTAAATATTTCAGTCCTGATTTGCAATGAAGAAATGGGAAGCATTGCAAAAGTTTTATTTCAAATTACACAAAAAAGTAGAATTCAGAATAACTGGATTGCATGTGTAGAGATCAAAAGCTGATATGATTTCCCTTGTTGGCTGAGGGCATCTGTCATCTCGTCATCTCTTCCATTTCATTGCGAACTTTTGAAAGCCAGTTTGAAATTTCAAACAGATGATTTAAATCTTTGAATATAAGCAGCATTTTATTCTAATTAAGCTGACCTCACTTTCATTCAGATTTGTTTTTAAATACTCTGAAGTTTCTGCACTCTTTTTTCTTTTTTTTTTTTTTTTTTTCTCGCTTTAAGTGTTCATCAATATGTCATAATGAATTCTTGAATTCTTCATTGGGAACTTTCTTAAAGGTTGAGTTCCTCTAATGCCTGTCTATCTACCATCTGCCTATACATACATGCACAGATGTATAGGAAATAGGAGAAATGTGGGGAATCTGTGAAATGGAATTGGGCTGATTTAGAAGATTTAATCATGGAATAACTTTGGTAGGAAGGGACCTCTAGAGATCATCTGAGCATACACACAGCTCAAAGCAAGGCCAGTGTCAAAGTTGGATCAGGTTTTCAAGTAATACAAGACAGATCAAGTAGATCAGTCTCCATCTTTCCTTCTCAAGACTATACAGCCCCATTTATCTCAACATCAACCTGTATGTCCTGTGCTCCAGCCCCTAAAGTCCTCTTCTGTAGAAAAGCTTTCTGTCCCATCAGTGTCCAGCCTGTACTGGGGGTTATTCCACCCCAAATACAGGATTTCCATTTTCCATCCCTGAACTATGTGAAGTTCACATCAGCCTATTTCTCCAGCCTGTTGTCCCTCTGAATAGCAGCCCACCCCTCCAGTGCATCGGCTGTGCCCCCAGTTTGGTATCCTCCACCAAATTTTGCTTTCCCTCCTGTTGAGCAGGTCAGGAGGTCCCCTTGCAGGCCAAGACCAGAACAACCATGTTCTCCCTATGTGATTGAGGTCGTGGTGTGCCAGGAGTGGTTATTCCAGCCGGCGCTGGGGAGCCATATCGGGTGACATATCCTCACTGCATTGCACCAAGTCTTTTCTTGCTCTCTGAGTGCCTCCGGACCCTCTACCATATCTGTGAACTTTCACATTAATGACCGAGTCTCTCGATAGCAGCGATCAATGGTCGGTTCCTTGCTGCTTGTGCTGTGAGAAGTTGCTCAGCTACGGCCCACGGAGCTCCCTGGTGTAGCCCTGTGTTGCGCTGGCCTCCCAGCTGGCCTGATGAGTTGGCTTGGGAATCAGACCAATCCACCATTCCACAGGCCTGGTAGATCATCAGTTGGTAACTGTCTTTGCACGAGTATTTTTGCAGAGGTTTTCACAAGAGAGGCCATTCTCCTCCTAATGTTGGGGGATGAATTTCCCCATTACAGAGGCTGTAAAAAAGGCTGCATCATTATTAACAGAGGTAGTGAAGCTTAATGTCACTAATTCTTTTGAATTACTTCCATAATAACTTTATAATGAATTATTATCACAGAACACTTAAAACTGTGCTTTGGAAATGGATGAGTTATCTACCCTATCCTGGAGAACTTGAAGTGTAAATCTGAGATGCAGTAATCAAGAGTTCTGCCATAGGTGCTAGGGGGAAGGAGTGACAGCCATACAGACTTAAATTCAGGACTGTTTTAGTCTCTTCTGATCTAGTGGAGAATTTCAGCAGCTTAAGTTGAACATGTGCTTAACTTTTGCTGAGTAAGGATGTGGTGTTCTGTTAAAGCCCGTCTTGATGTCACGTAACAGCTTAGGTGTGTGTTGATATGTACAAACGTGCATGCATGGGAGAGGAGGAGGGTGATAAGTGGCATCAAGCGTAACCCACCTGCTTTCACCTTCGGTGCGTTTTCAGCCTATCTCCAATGCTAACCCGTCCTCTCAGTCAGTCCTGAGAGCTCAGCTCTTACCTCTGGTCACTTCACGATGGAGTTCCCGGCCTGTTACTCATTTACCCAAGGACTCTGATATTTTCTGTTGTGCATTTCACTCCAGGAAAGAGCTCTGAAGTGAATCCATGGGGCCAATTCAGCATCCTTCTGCTGTTCCCCGTTCAGAGCTCTCCCTGGCCATGGTATCTACCATAAACATGGCCACGTTTTGACCCCCTTTTTCATGAAGGGAAAACACCACCAAAGCACTCCCGTTAGGCAGTCTGGCTTTGTGCCTGTCCTCCCTCTGCCTGTCCATACCCAGCTCTTAACTGCACAGCATGGTAATAAAAAATAATAATAGTATAAATATAGAAAGTCTCTTCCTGTTGTTCTCATTGTTAAGGCAGGATAATGAGTTTCTTCTCCATGACATTCAGAGAGATAAATGGCATTCCAGTACATCTGAGTTGAAAATGGTGTCTGGAAGCAGATGTCAGTGCAGCACTGCCTTTTCCTGACATTTACTGACGTTGTGCTGTGCCGTGGGGCTAGAGAGGATCAGTCTGAGATAAGATCCATTTAGGAATGTCCTCACCAAGCTCGGAAAGCTCAGGAACTAGTCCCACAAGGCACAGTACCTCAAGCCCCCTTGCATCCCTCCCTATAGTACCCATACGCTATGTGGAGGTGTGAGGTTGGAGAGTTACCATAGGACATACAAAGACCACCCAAGGATATGAAAATAGAGCCCAGGTGCAGTGAAAGAGGGGAAGGTAGAGCTTGCGAGATGCTGACTCTACACAGGATTTTTCAGCATAGAGATGGAGTCTTGGATGATTTGACCATAACAGACTGGGTTTACTGGCATAGTTACACTACTTGGCTTTGGCTGTTATACCATTACTAAAAAGTAATATATGCTAAGATTAAATGGTCTTTGTTGTTGTTTTTTTTTTTGTTTTGTTTTGTTTTTTTGTTTTTTTGTTTGTTTGTTTGTTTGTTTTTCCTGCAATATTTCTTTGTGGACAGATGAGGCCATTCGATCACCGGTAATTTTACTGTCTGTCTTGGGGTTGGAGGTAGCTTTTAATGAAATTGATTCTGCCAAACTCAAATGATTTGATAATGGAAATTAAGGCAGCAGTAGACCAAAGGAAGTTTGGTCGTAGAAGATAAACATGCCGTGGGACTTGAAGTATATTGCAGCCTCCTTTGTGCCCTGCCTTTACCAAAGGTATGGTTGCAGGAGACAAGGCAAGGTGGTGGTTTGAGAGCCTGAGGCACAGAATTACCAGCTTTGTTCACTTCCCAGTTGTGTTCCTGAGCTATGTCAGGAGTATTTGGCCCTTGGTATCATCGTGGGACATAACTTTTCCCCAACTCTGTCAAGATGGGGAGCTGATGCCTGGCAAAAGTAAGCAAGATGTAAATGCCAAAATATATCATTATGAAGTTACTTACAAATCTAGAGCTGCTCTCTTTCTGAAGGGCGATAATAGGCAAGATCTCAGCAAGTATTGATGGGAAGGTCTCTCCTAAATTGGTGGGGCTAGATGAATTTATACAGACCGGGGATTGCAAGGTGCCATTGGGACATCTGGACCTATGAAAGTTTAGATGTTGTGCAACAAAGCAAACATACAAATGGATATAGTTAAAAAGCACGTCAGAAGAAAACGAGCTATTAAAAACCCCTCCAAACCTTATATTTTCTGTCTTTCGGGAGCAGTAGTGATTCATTAAAAGGGTAGATCTAACAGGACAAGAATAATCTTAAAGAACAGCTCGCAATTAATGGATAAAAAGCCAAAGTTTAGCCTACCAGCTTCATCTCTTGGCGGTGGTTTTCATTTTGCAATTACAACGTGTCAGGGATGTCTCCTTAGCATCTCTTCTTCTCTGTAGGCTGCTGGCAACAGCTTAGTAATGTTGACTGAAAGTCAGGGGCGTTAAGTTTAACCATGGAGCTTGCATCTTTTGGGTCCTGAAGAGCCAGGCCTATGTGAGGGATAACAAGCTCCTGCTACGGCAGTAACTGAGTTGTCTGGTGGCTACAGCATGGAGTGGGACGTAGGAGATGCGGTGTCTGATTTGTACTCAGTTTCTCAGTCCTGACAACTGAGTCCTGAACTTGATTGGATCCCCTTCTTCTGATAATTTGAAAACATGAAGATATCTTCTTTCTCAGGCATCCCCTGAAGTCACCCCCAGGCGTATTATTCCCATCCCAGCCATCTGAGAGCCAGGAGTATGTAGACATAGGGAAGGAGTAGGAAGGTGATGGGATGGGAGGGAGTGCTGAAGCCTTGCCAGGGATTCCCTTAGCTAGCAGCTTTTCTGTTCTGGCAACATTTCTGGCAAAAGAAGAGGGAAAAAACCAAAATCTGTGCCTTTCCCACACCAGGCAATGATCCCACCCAAGCACCAGTAGACGCCTGCACCAGTCCTGGCATAACCATCAGTGCAGATGCAGGACCACGCAGAGCAATCCAGCCCTGAGGCTGGGGGTGCCTTGTCTTCCCCCCTCTCACTCCAAAGGCTCAGGTCCAGCACATAAACATTTCAGGCCCAGTGCTTTTCCATTAGCCAGCAGCAATGTTCTCGCTAGTTGTAACGGGAACAGGTCAGGCCCCTAATTGCAGCGGTATCTCCTTAATGAGCAGAAACTCCAGCAATTTCATCAGCTGTCACTACTTACATGAACAAAGTTCGGCTTGCGCGTGGCTCCAGTTGTTCTCATTATTTCTGTGTGTATGTTGCATTCTCTAATCATGGTAAAACTCTCCAGAACATGTTTTTAAGGTGACAAATTGACCACCAGCAAAGCATTAAAGCCAATAACTTTTGTTTTCTAAGTGGGGCTGTGCAAGAGCCACCCAAAGCCCAGCTGCCATTGTGCAGAAGCACGTTTCACCTGACTTATCCCTTAGCATTCAAGCACTGACTTTTGTGTCTATCAGCCAAGAGCTGTTTATCTGGCGACAAATCATAATTGCTCATATTAAATCCAAAGTACACCAACACGTTTTCATAATGATTTCCAACACATTGCACAGAATTTGTCTGGTGGGCCAAGCAAATAGTTACTGAGCTTGGACGACAACCAGAGTCCCAGATTGCATTGCCTGTGAATACATAGAAAACCTCCTGTTAAACTCGCCTTGATATGCTGCTGTTAATGGTGCTTCATTTAGGTGGGGATTTAATTGTTCAGGCTGTAAATGAGATACTTCTTTTGTGTCTTGTTTCCGTGTCATTGTATCAATCTAATCTGCATTTGTACTCACTCACATTCTTCTGATTGTTCCTTTTCTCAGAGCAGCTTTCATTGAAATGCTGATGAAACGTGCCCTTTCTTAGGCTAAAATGTGATGTTTTCAAGGTAAAAAAATTAATTCTACAAATTAAACCATAATTATTCTCTGGTCTTCCAGAAAGACTTTTTTTCTCCCTGTCTGATTTCTAGGCTGTAATCTCACTGGGACAGGTAACGCCCTGACATTTGCATCTCTTGAAGTGAGGTTTATAGGTGGCAGGAGAAGACAGATTCCTGAGGAAGTCAGTGTCAAGTTGTGCATGCAAATAGCTCTCACCACCTCTGTGCTCTTCCAAAACCATTCTCTGGTTGTATGGCTAGCTGTCGGGCCCTTGAGCCTCCCTGCAGGGAGCTGGATGCAGAGTGTGGGGGAGATGAGGCCGTTTTATACCATAGGATCTTCAGAGGGCTGGATCGCTTCAGAAGCGAGAGTCAGTAGTGCTGTTTCTGATCCTCTAGCTTCTGTTTTTCTCCTGACCGTGGTTTGTTTGCTCCTTGCTTGCACAAGTGAGCCGGAATGAAGCAGACTGCAAGAGGAATCTAGTTCCCAAATCTCCCGCAGCAGTCCTGATGTGTCTCTTTCTGTGTGTTGCAGCCCTTTCTCCGTCGATCCCTCCATCGGGACGCTTGGCATCGGTGACGCCATGCAAGTGACCGTGGAGTTTCACCCGCTGAAGACAGGGGATCATTCCAGTTCCCTGGTAGTACACTATGACACAGGTAAGTGCTGGGCACTCTGTGGCCCACACCCTCTGCATCCTTCAAAACAGAACCCTTTCTAAGCAGAATAAAGGTAAACTTGCTTTGCAAACTACTAAAACCTTTTCTTTCAAAACTTCTGCATGTTTCAGTGCTTAGAAGTGAACAGGTAAGGGGCAAAGGCTGTGTCTGTCCTTGCTCTCTCTGTCCTGTGTTGCTGTGTGCTGGTCCTTCCCTGGGGGACCCTGATGTCAGCACGGTGTTCTCCCCTCAGCACACCCCCGTGACTGTCATTGACCATCGTTCCCCGTTGTCCCAGCCACCTCAATTCCCTCTCCAGGTGTACCTCTCCTGTCCCAGCTTTACCTCAAAAAAAAAAAAAAAAAAAAAGTGACCAATAGTTGGTGTTTAGGGGGTTGTTAAAGTGGATCCCCTTAAGCAGGAATGAGATTTTTGGAATCCTGTTTTTCTGGGAGTTGCTGAGTGAAGGAAGGGGGAACCTTGATTCTCCATTACAGTGTGCATAAGCACGTGTGAATTTTTCTTCCTAGACAATGCTGTGTTTGAAGTGTTACACAGGGAACGCATGTTTCTGTCAGACTCTTTCTAATGCCTACTGTCTCTTACACACCTCTGTCCACTATACTGCTACTCCACTGTTGTGCCGCAGACCCTATTTCTCTGTTGCCCTCTACCCATCTATAGCCCACACTTCACAACATCAGGACTAAAGCAGCCAGGACTTGAGGGCTCCTGAGATTTGGCAGGAACTGCTTTCTGCCTCCCAAGATAGATATAGAATTTATACTAGGGTACAAGAAGCCAAGATCAGGCCACAGGAATGCTGTCAGCTTTATAATATAGTCACTTTAAGATTAAGTGGGAAAAATTTAAGAAAAAGGTGTGACATTAAAATGCTTCTGTCTGCCTTGGCTCAGCAGAGGCATCTTGTGATGCTGAACAAGACACTTTTTCAGTTGCCTGGATGCATTTGGTGTGCATTTTATCTTGCCTGAGAGGGAGGTTTGTTTTATCCCTGTTCCTGAACTTTGGTCTTTGGGAAGGTGATGTCCTGACCTAGGTGCTACTGTGATGCTTTAGCCCAGCAACGAGAATTTTAATTGTCTTGGCTTTGTAGAAGTTATAAAAATGCTCTTATATCTCCCCAATGCTCTTTGTAGCCTTATGAGTTATCACAGCTTTGTTTAATATTTTTCAGTTAATGACGTACTCACAGAGGATGGTTTGTGCTCACTCAGAGAAGCCCATTGGTTTGGGTAACGCTTTCTTGAAAAAACTACTGAAATTTCAGATGGAGAAGCACAAAAAGTGCCTCCTTTCTATGCATATAGAGAACCTATAGGATGAAATTCAGAGCGATCTTTCTCTGGGTTGAATCAGGGCTAACTGCACTAGAGTTTAGGGCTGTGGGGTTTATACCATGTGAAATGAAAAGACCGAGCGAAGAATCCAGGGACAGGTCTTCATGGCTTGCTTTGAAAACCTGACACTTGTTCTTACTGAAACACCTAGTTCCTCTGTGGTTAATTCTTTGCAAAAGCAATTTGCATGGGTAAGCCACAAGGATCAAACTATCTGCTGGCTCTGGGATGGGCGACCTCCCAGGAACATGGTGCAGCTACCTGGGAGATGAACCCAGGATTCATTCCTGCCTGTCAGTACAACACTGCAGTTATTTTTCAATAAACCACAGACTGAGGAGGAGAGCAAGGGAATAATTAAGGGATTATCTCTCGAGCTTTGAAGCATACAGATAAGTAAAAGGCTGCTGAGATTAATTGCTAAAGTGAAACCGAAACATTTAATCAATCAGTCTTAAAAGCTGCTTATTGCAGGTGTAGTGCAGAGCACCAGACAATATTACCCAACCTGTCGTGGCAAGCCCTGGCTAATTTGTCCTGCGTGAAGTCAGACTCCCTGTGACTCGCATACAAAAAGCAGCTGGGTTGCTCTTTCAGAGCCACCAACAGACTGTTTATTATGAAACAGAAGCGCTAAGAGCAAAATGGCAGTTTGGGGTGTCGGGAGGCATTTTCCTTGCTTTACTGTGTATCTGCATTGACTTGCTGACAAGTGGCAGTAGTTCTCAGTGAATCACACTGTTGTATGACTTATGCAGGATCAGGTGCATGTTGCACGGCTTTAATTTTGCTGAACTTGAGTGTCCCTAGCATTGCTTAAGCAAGCACGGAGCTCTTCAGTGTGAATAAGTCAGAATTTTCCCCTATTATTGGGTTGATTTAAATTGTGCATCTTTTAGACTGTCCTGGTTAGGAGCACAGGTACTGTCCCCTGCATAGACTGTATATATGATGGTAATCCTGTTGCTACAAACCTTACAGATGAGTGTGAAGAAGATGTCTTTGCTGATAAGAGCATAATGATTTCCAATGAAAATTTGACTTCCAGTGCTTTACATGTCCAAACTCCTCCATTTCCCCCATGTATATGTGTCTGGGCGTGAAAAATCCCACCTCATACTGAAATGCAGGTGACTTGGGGTGTTTTGGGCACGTCCCTATTAACATCAGGTCATGGTATTGGAAGGGGTTTCTGAAGCCTGCGTACCAAGCACACGTACAGGTTTGGGAAGGGTTCGGCACTCAGTGCCGCTAAAAATCCTGCTGGTGGCTTGGCCCTTCCCAGATGACACTTAGCCCACCCCATGTGGATGTGGGAAAATAAGTTTGTGGGGTTAAGTCTAGTCTCAACCAAGTCAGTATTCATAAAGCTGAGATATTCTCTTAGCTCTCAAGTGGTGCTCAAGTGAGATGCCCTGAGTGCTGCTGTTTGTACATCAAACCCCGTTTGCTGCGTTCATAATGTTTATTGCGACCTGACAGTGTAGCACCAGCTTGGTGTGGGAGGGTGAGCTTTGCTCGGGGACAGGGACAGGGTGAGGAGATGTGTAGTGGCTTCCCAGAGCTGCGCTGGAGGTGCAAAACAAACTCACCAGTCCCGTAGAACCCAGAAACAAGAACATCTACGGCAGATGCTCCACACAAGTAAAGGAAGCTACCAGAGACAGGAGGTGCTGGGAAGATGCTGGGAATTGTGGAAGGAGGATCATTTCTCTGCTCAGAGCTCACTAAATCCTGACTCGCGTTAGATTCCTGTCTCCAAAAAGTACCTGCTGTGGTCTGATGGGTGGTCTTCAAGGTGTAAGACCAGATTCTGTGCTTGTATGTGGGTGCCTCCAGTGTCCACTGGACCTTGTAGCAAGGTGCTACAACGTGCTTCTAGTCCAGGAGATCTGTTGTGTGGTGCTGAAACTCCTCTGTATGGTTTTTCCCCATCGGTTGCCACATCCCTGGGGATCTTTGTCAGCACAGGCAACTTCAGTAATTAGCAAAGCCCCTCTGAGCTTGTGTGTGGCTGACAGACACTATGTATTTGAGATGCTTTTATTACTGCCAGTGATAAGAGTAGCTAGGCAGTTCATTTGCCTTCGGTGGCTCTGTGAGACTAACACAGAAGCAAAAGTCTGGGGGCAGGGTCTTGCCCTCTTTGAGGGGAGAGATCAGAGCCAGTACTCGTATGTGAATTTTGGGAGACAGCATATCCAAGAAGAGCCAGCCCTCAAGCAGGAATGTCTACTCCATTACCATCCTGTGTCCTCCTGTTGGTGCAGAGCCCCAGAGAGCAGCTTCCCCAGAAGAGAGGAGAGGTAACATGTGGCTCAGTGGTTTTAGTCCCGCTGGAAGCCTGTAGCCTCATGCTAAAAGCCTGCTGAGGAACCATCTGGGTATTTGGCAGATTAATGCCCTGTTTTCTATTGACTTCCTACACAACTGACAGTTCCTGAGCAGGAGCTCTCCTAAAGCAAATCTCGGCTTGTTTGCTGTGGATCGCCAAATTCAGGTTATTCCTGTCTGGGAGAAGAGAACGGCTAAGTATGTTTCTCCAGTGCAGCACAGTAGAATCTGGAGATGATGTGGAGCTGAGCTTGCCCTGCCCTGGGTCAGGGAAGGGTCTGGCTGCCTTGTTCCCCAGCTTCTGAGCTTTGCTGGCTGGCCCCACACGTCTGGGCTCCCCAGCATGGCTTCTTCCCCACTGCTGCTGGCTAGATGTAGGGCAAAATGTGATCAGCCTCATGTTGCACAGCACTAGGCTGCAGCGTGGAGAAGCAAGCCCTGGCCTGAGATGTCTCCTCCCTGGCAGCGTCCCTCTAGTCTCTCTGGGGATCCTCTCCAGTCCCTACAGCTGCCCAACAGCCAGGTTCTTAGGCTGGCTGCACTAAAGGGATTGCTGCAGGGGATTTTCGTTCTGAGCACCGGAGAGCTACCGTGAAGTGTGCTTTGGGTTGGTCAGTACCTGCCTGTGTGGGTTACCTCTACAGCTTCTAGCCTTCTCGGTGTCTGGAGCAAGCATGATTAGCAGGTCTGTGATCTTCCCCTTCCTCTGAGCCAGCTTGTGGGGATAGATAGGATTTCCTTGGGGCAATGTAAGAAGGAGAAATAACAATAAAAAATTTCCTGGGTGGATCTCAATGGATTGGGAATCCCTGTACTGAGCAATGCTCAGGATCACAGGGAAGGTATCAGAAGTGGATCCAGGTCTTTACCCTGCACAGGAGGCCCTGACCCACTGCACTGAGATGCCTCTGCCCTTCTTGGTCTAACCATAGACAGCTTTTCTGTGCTGCAGCAGCCTCTGGAGCCATGAGTGATAACTACCAGCTGGAGAAAACACTGACATTTCTTCTCAAATGGGGAAAATGAGGCACGAGATCACAGGAAAAATTAAGGCATATTTAAAAATGCTGGTATGGAGCTTTTGAGTCACCTGTGGAGTGACAGCGAGTTTGCAGTGATGTAGTAGGACCACTTGGGTTTGGTGAAGATGATGGATAACTGCAGAACTGGGTGCGCTTGACTGGCAGCAGGGGAAGCAAAGCCTGGGCGTCTTGGCCACGGTGACAAACTGTAGTAGGGGCTACCTCGCATTGCAAACAGGCCAAGGGGAATTGTTCAACCGTGTTAGTGACTGTTCAGCTCCTG